GGTGCACTACAGATGCATCCGTATGCCAACTGCACCCTTCTAAAAAAGATGGGAAAATATAAAAGTGAGTATTAATAACCAAAACAAGTTTTAATCTTTACCATAATGTAACGAATATTTAAAAATACATTATAAATCAAATTCCTTAATTTTGAGATTTTTTATATTTTTTTTTAAAATACCGATTGATCACCCTAACCGCCCAAAACCGGAACCAACCACTGGCCGGTTCCGATCTAACCGGGCAGTTAACAGTTAGATCGGGCGATTATGCGAACAGTGCTTCATGGAATGATGTTGGCTCTTTATTTTCAGCTATCAAAATATGCAAAGTATTTGGATCCACATAATTTTTGTGCCACCCGGGTGCATGAGTTTCTCTAGTAGAGCACCTATGTGCCAAAGACACAACTTTATCATGATGGTCATATGGTTCTTCATCTTGACTTCCTCGTTCTTCACCATGATCAATGGGTATATTCTCATAAGGCATAATTGTACTTGGTGGAAGTGTTTTGGGGTTGCGTTGAAATTCTTGGCTCTCTTGTTGCACTTATTGACCATTGTCCTTTATCATTATCCCTTTTGCCAATACCTTGGATTTATCAAAATGCACATCACGACTAGTAATTATATTTCAAGTACTTGGATCTCATAATCGGTACCCCTTCACACCTTTTTTATAACCCACAAAGATGCACTTTTTTTACTTTGGATCCAATTTGTTCCTTTGGCAACTTGGAATAAGCACATAAGCATCACAACAAAAAATTTTCAAATCGGAGTAATCACTCGGAGTTCCATACCATACCTCATTACGAGTTTTGCTTCCCAATGCTACCGAAGGTGATCGGTTGATAAGATAACAAGCCATTGATACGGCTTCCGCCCATAGTTTTTGTTCTAGGCTAGCATTGCTTAACATGCACCTCGCACGCTCCATCAAAGTGTGATTCATCATCTCAGCCACAACATTTTGTTGAGGATTGTAGGCATTTGTGTAATGCTTAGTAATTCCTTCGGCCTTGCAAAAATTTTCGAACTTCTTTGATATAAATTCTCCACCATTATCGGTCTGAAGAACTTTGATGTGATGCCCCGTAGATTTTTCATTTTCGGTTTTAAAATTCTTGAATGCACAAAACACATCACTTTTGGACTTGAGAGTTTTGATCCATACTTTTCTTGAGAAGTCATCAACAAATGAAACAAAATATAATACACTGCCATAAGATGTAGTTGGTGAAGGGCTTCATATATCTAAGTGAATGTAATCAAGTTTGCACACTTGCTTGTATGCTTTCCGATCTTGAAAGGTTGTCTGTGTTGTTTCCCATAGACATAATGCTCACAAAATTCGGATCCATCAATTTTAAGTGTAGAAAAAAAATTCCTCTTCATCAAGACCTCCATACCCTTATCACTCATATGCCCCAATCTTTTGTGCCATATGCGATATGAAACTTCCTCACCTTTAACCACAGAATTCACTTCATCATTTATTATTTGTGCTTCCCAATAACTTATACAAGCTCCCAAGTAGGACTCATTTCATAACAATTAGAGCCCCTTTTGATACTTTGATAACTCCACCTTGATCGGTGAACTTATAACCTTCTGAATCTAGAGAAGATAGGGAAATCAAGCTTGTTTTTAGTTTCGGTACATGCCTAACATCCTTAATTGCCCAAATAAACCCATTGAACATCTTTAAACGAACCGAATCTATTCCAACCACCTTGTTAGTGGAATTGTTTTCCACGAATATCGATCCTCGTTCACATGACTCATATGAGTCTAACCATGATCTAGAGGGCACATGTGATGAGTGGCTCCACTATCAATTATTTAATTTTGATATAATATTGAATTATATGCCATTATTAATACTTCATCTTCAATGAAACTGGATGTAGTCTCTTCAACTTGATTTGCTTCATTCTTGGTTTCATTTGGTTTTTCACCTCCCGTATTAGGACCTTTGGAAGAATTTATTCCATTTCTCTTAAAATAATTCTTTCGTATATGACCGGGTTTCCCACAATGCCAACACACATTCTTCTTATTAGGCTCTCTAGATTTTAATCGAAATATTGAATGATTCCTCGATGAATCACCCTGTTCATTCGATCGACCTCTTACCATAAGAGCTTCCGTCTTCGATTTTACCGAACTTCCCAAAGATGCTTTCTTTCGAAGTTCATCAATAAGTAGGGCACTACACACCGAGCCCAAATCAAGAGGATCCTCGTTACTACAACTCAATGTAGTAACAAAGTTATCATAGGATTCCGGCAATGAACAAAGCACGGTGACCGCTTTGTGTTCATCATCCATTTTCACACCAATACTCTCAAGTTAACAAATGAGGTTATTAAACTCATTCAAGTGTTGCGACACATTTACACATTCTTTCATTACCAAGATATACAAATTTTTCTTTAAGAAAATTCGGTTTGCGAAAGATTTTGTTTGATACAAACTTTCTAATTTTTTTCACAAATCTTTTACCGTATTTTCGCCAACAATATAAAACAAAATCTTATTTGCTAAACACAAACAAATAGTGGCCCATGCCTTCATATCCAGTTCATCCCAATCATCAGCGATCATATTTACCAGCTTCTTATCTTTTCCAAGTAATGCTTTTGTGTTGCCGTTGATGTACTAATAAATTTTGTATTTTTAATTTCTAAATTTCTAAATTATCTTTCCCTTAAACTTCTCCACTTCAAACTTGTGAGATGCCAGTTTCCCAAAAAATACTGCACTAATTCCTTGAGCTCTAATACCAGTTGTTGTATAATCGGGGAAACTCAGTCTTCCCGTTCACTAAGTTGGGATATCTCAAATACCACTTTTCACATTCAAATAATATACTCAAGATGCACTAACGAGTGCAATATAATTGGAAAAAAATATAAAAACAATAAAACAAGTGATATGAGAAATCATCAAAGCTTAACACAAATGAAAGTAGAGAGTGACACACACATATACGTGGTTCATCCAAGATGGGCTACGTTCATAGGCAAGACGAAAAATGTGTATTCACTATCAAGAGGAAAAAATTACATGATTGAAGGTATGCAGAGTTATTGCATATAATATTAAAAAATACTAAAACACATAATTTCCTACCATAAAACCACCTACAATAGATTACTTTCTTCATTTCACTACCAAAAAAATGCCTTTCTTCATTTCACTACCAAAAAAATGCCGACAAAATAACTCAAAAATGAGCCCCAAAAATGATACAAGGGATTTGCAATGAAACCCCCAATTTTTTGCTCTCGCAAAACTTTCTATCTGTTTTTACCATTTTATTACCTTTTAATCTCAGGCTCGCGAGCACCTTTTTTTCTTCTCACTTACATCTCTCTCTAAAGACCCATTTAAAGGCCTCCACTCAAAAGGTTTAGTTTTTAGTAACGAAAATACCCTTCAACAAAAGGTGAATGCCAAAGGGGGGATGATTTGGCATCACGCCTCCGTCATTTACTGCCTACAACCTGCGCCAAACACAAACTCCTGCGGCATGTACTGCCTGCGCGGGGGATTCACCTGTATAAATATCCCCATCCATTTTCCCTTTACAAAGTAACTCTCCCCCTCTCTCTCTAAAAAGGCTCTTCTTTCTCTTTCTAAAAGTTGCTGAGAGGACTGAGTTCCCTGCGCTGAATCCTGTATGCTCAAAACTATTTCCTACTGTCTCTCTAAGTGTAACCCTAATTAAGGCGAACTGTCTACTGCAGCTGTATTGTGGAAGAAGTTTTCGAGTTGACGTCCCCAGAGTTGTCTTCTCTCTCGTTGCACAATGAAGCCTGGGCGCTCTTCATTTCTTAAACCGGGCCAATTGTGAAACCTAGTCAGGGCAAAGGGGCCTTTACAGTGGAGGCAGGGCACAAATTCAAAATGAGCCCTATTCAGAACTTGGAGCAACATTCAAGGCGCCTCCTTGAGCCCGATCTTAGTATCCTTATACTGATTTTTTCTGTTACTAATGTCTTGTTTTCTTCGTATTCTTATTAATTTGGGTGTTTTTTTTCTTGTGTATATGTGACTATAGAGGGTGTTTTGTTTGTGAATTTATCGTTTTTAGGCATAAAAATAGTAGAACACCGTTTAGTTCTTCATATAAGTAATTTGTTCCAATCACTTTATGGTTTTTTCAATTTGTTTCAAGTTGTTGTCATGCACAAACACAGACACAATTTACTGTTTTTTGTTGTTTTATGCATATTCTGCTTTATCTGTGATTTTTGGTTTTTTTTTTTGGTATAAGACTGTAATTTAACTGTTTTGTTGCTTGAAAGTAGCAGATTGCTGTTCTATTTTGTGTTATAAGTAATTTATTGGAGTTTTCAATTGCTGCTTGTTTTGAATTTGTTCTTTTTCTGTGTTCTCTTTGTTGTCTTGTTTCATAGTTGGGTTTGGAAATTTTTCGTTTCCTTATTTGTTTTCGCCATTCATTTAGCATTAACTGCAGTTTTTCGTCCGTTTTAGATGTTAAAGTTTTTAGTTTTATTTTTTTTGAATCAAAACAAAGATTTTTAGGTTTGGTTATGGAGGAGAAACTTTGAACTTATGTATTTTTCTGTGTTTATCTTCCTCTTTGTGATTTTCCTTTAGTTTTTATGAAGAAAATTTACATAAAATGCTTGTGTTTATGCGTTAAAGTTTTCAAATTCGTCTATAGTAGTTATGCTTGCCTTCTCACTGTGTCTCCCCCTTTTCCATCAATTTCCTTTACTGTTGATCCTCCAGCTATGCAAGTGCGGCTTACAATGGCCACAGAGGTTCGTGATAGCCTCGAGATTGTGCACTCCTCAGAGTACCTGAACTTCCTCAAATGTTATTTCAGGGTTTTCTCAACGATTTTGACTCAACTTACGAAACCCCAATTCGCAGATAGCATTGAGCACAAAGTTCGCAATGTTATTGTGGAAATTTTGAACAGGCTCCCCCATAGTGAGGTCCTCAGGCCATTTGTGCAGGATCTTCTAAAGGTTGCAATGCATGTGCTTACAACTGATAATGAGGAGAATGGGCTCATCTGTCTTCGCATCATATTTGATTTGCTTAGGAATTTCAGGCCAACATTGGAGGCGGAGGTTCAACCTTTTCTTGACTTTGTGTGCAAGGTTTGATTTGTTTGTTATAATATATGCTTCTTTTTGGCTTTTGCTAAGTTATAGTCAGTCTGTGTTTCATTTGGTTTCTGTACTTTGAAATTCCCTATCAAAGCATTACTTGG